TTATCATCTATGTTTCTTTTCATGTAGTTTGGAAATTTTTAGTTGACTTTGTATTAAAATAATGTATGATGAGATGTTATCTGTTTTTTTTTTTTTTTTTAAATATAGAGTCTAAATAGTAAAAATTTAAAATTTGGGGTTAAAAGAAACAAACTAAACTTACTATTCTCAATAAATATATAATACTATGTTTTTACATAAAATATATAATAATATTTAAATAAATCTTTTAAAACTATTGAAATTAAAATCAAAATCAAATGAATTCCAAAACCAATTCATATTTCAAAACAAATAAAGGCAGCTTCCAAAGTCTTTTTTTTTTTACTTTATTTACTATACAATTTTCATATTTTTTCATAAAAATATTATTTTATTTTACAAAATAACATATTAAATCACTATTTAAATAAAATATACAAATACAAATAAAGCACACTCGGAAAAAAAACGGCCTAAATAATTTTGTATTCATTTTATTCTTGTTGTTTTTATGTTTGCAATATTCTTATAAATTAATAAAAAATTATATGAAGATATAAAAATTTATATTAATGTAAAAACTTTATAAATTTGTTCCTTTTGGATTTTTTATTTTTATTTTTATTTTTTTACTATTCAGTTTCGCATATTAATATTTTTTTACAAAATACTATATCAAACTATTATTTAAATCCAAACTTCTAGCATTTTAAATTTTGGGATGTATTAGGAATTGTGAATATATTATGATGTTGTTTGAAGTAATAATATTTTTTTTTATATATACATTTAAAAAATATCATTTATATTTATTGAAAAATATGAATAATTATTTATTTTTTCATAAAAATAACGAGTAAAGTTTTTTTTAAAAAAAAAAAACTCAAAAATTGTATTTCTTTTGACAAAATTTCTCAAATTTTATCATTTGAGCTTTGTATTTTTTTAAAAAAACAAAAATTTCTATTAAATTATTATTTTAATATCAAATTCAAATAAAAATCAAATAAATACATCCAAAATATCTCTACAAGATAATATTTCAAAAAAGCATAGACCAAAGCCTAATCCCTAAACCAAGCAAATGGCTTCTTGCAAAAGCTTTCCTTATATGACATAATTCCACAATATACTCACACGCAAAAAAAATAAAAATAAAAAAAAATAAAAAATAAATAAATAAATAAAAAGCAAAAAGAAAAAAGAAATTAAAAATAAAAGTTGATGTGGTCTAAACAAGAACATTATCATAATTCACAATAAAGAATTCATCTTTTTACAAGATGGACCGCATCTTATCTAATTTAATTTAATCTAAGTATCATTTTTTTAAAAAGAAAATGGACGTTTTGTCTTTTGAAAATTTGTTCTATTTTTTAATTTAATAAAAATATAATATTTTTTTAAAAAAAAAATAATACTTCCGTCCCGTCAAACCAGCACCATTTGTCTTTTGCATTATTTTATTTAACATTAAAAATATTCTTATATTTGTATAATTTACTTTACAAATTTTTGTCATTTTCTCTTTATTTGTACAACATATTGATATAATAGTTAATATTTAGATATCAACACACAGAAAGTCTATCCTATTCTTCTCACGGGGACGGAGGTAGAGCTGTGAGCTCGAGTATCGGTTGTTCGATCTCGACTCGAACTTGTTAATGGTTCAGGCTCGGCTTGACTCGTTAGACTTAAATTCAAGTTCAAGCTCGGCTCATAAAGCTTGAACTCGAACTCGAGTTCGACTTGAATTTTATACATATTCTATATATTCTAAGATATAAATTAAATATATTTAATTTTATTCATAAATTTTTATAATAAAATATCCAAATTTTAAAAATAAATATAAATTTTGATATAAAAAAATTATATACTATATTATATAAATATTATAAATATATTATCACTAACGAGCTTAATTGTGCTACTCGCGAACCGAGCTCGAGCTCGTCTCATTTATAAAAAAAATAGTTTTCGAGCTCGAGCTTGACTTGTTTATAAAAAAAGATAATTTTTGAGCTCAAGCTCGACTTGTTTATCTCTATAAACGAGCCGAGTCGAGTTTGGCTCGCGAGCTACTCGATTCGTTTAACAGCTCTAGACATAGGCAGTATTACTATCAAACTACTGTAAAAAGACAATAACTACATTTTAAAAGAAAACAACCAAAACTCCAAAATCATTTCGATTTTGGTTTTCTTATTCCAAATTTTTTTTTTTCTCAAAAATATCAGATAAAAAACCTATCATTCATTTATTATATTATATTTTAATTTAATTTTACATTCAAAATATCACATTAATGCATATTTATATCACATCAAATGATTATTTCAATTCCAAATTTTACTATTCAAAAACTAAAATCAAAACCAAAATCTCACAAATAAACGCACCCGGAGTTTGTTTGGTTTGAATTTTTTAGCCATTAATGTTTTTGAGTTTTTTAAATAATAAAAAGTTTAAATAAAACACATGTATTTAATGCGATATTTTGCATATAAAATAATTTTTTGATATAATATTTTAAATAAAGAATTAAAAAATTATTCTATATAAAATATTACATCAAATTTAGAAACACTTTAAATTGAAATATTATTTGATGCGATATAAATGGAAATTAGAAGCTATATTTTTTAATAAAAATATTAGAGTGTATTAGTCCAATTATTTTTTAATACAATTTTTTATAAATATTATTAAAAAATGTAGTATATATACATATAATTATACACAATATATAATATATTTATACTTTATTAGCTCACAAATATCAACATTTATGTAACACGATTCTTATATCCAATGTAAAAAATATATTTTTCCAAAAATACAAAGCCTCTGTTTACTAGTGAGATTTTATATCTGATTTTATTATCTTAATTTTTTTTTTAAAAAAAATATCAAATTAAATACATATTTTTATTTGTTTTATTACAATAAAATCTAATTTTACATTCAAAACATTACATCAATACATATTTATATCATATTAAAAAAACTATTTCAATTCAAAATTTTATTATTACAAACCAAAATAAAAAATCATAATCTTATAAGTAAACACATCACACCACATATATTAGATAAATATATATATATATATATATATTTAATTTGATGATGTTTGATTTTGATTTAAAATTAGGTGTTTAATTAGAGTTTTAATTTTAATGTATTTTGAAGAAAAAATAATACTATAATTTTATAAAAAAATACAGTATATAAAAAATAATATTTCTTCCGTCCCATGTAATATGGGTTTATTACTGTAGCCACGCGAATTTAGGTAAAGTATAATTAGTAAATAATTAAGAAATGTATTCGTAAAAATAATTATAGATTAAGATTAACATAACTAAATAGTTTAATTAAGATTAAAAAAATTAAATTTTAAATTTTAAAATATGATTAAAGTGTATAATTAATTTTCCAAAAAAGGAAATGAAAAATTATGTGAAACGGACGAAAATAGAAAATATGAACAAATTATGTGGGATGAAGTCGATAGTGATTTGAGTTTTAAACACAAGTTATAACATCCTTAAATTTTAGAAAAAAATAAAAGTTGATGAATAATGTTAAATAAAAAATTAAGACTTAAAAGAAACACAACCAAGTATGTATATGTATTTGATTTATGTGTTAGCGTTTTTACTTTGTATTTATACAATAGTTTGAGGTAATATTGGGTAAATCATATAACATTGCTTGTGCTTCGGAAAAAATGAACAAAACAGTCTGTGTTTTATTTATAGCGTGAATTCCTTGGGTTAATGTAAAGTTTGCACGAAACATATTCCTTGTCCAATATTGATATTTGGTTCTAAACAAAGAATTTAAGCTAAGTTTTATAGAAATAAAAAACGCAAAATATTTTAAATAATTTTTTTTAACAAAATAAATAAATAATTGATTAATCTTTCGTTTTATTAGTTTTTTAAGACAAATTGTTATACTCCATCTGTCTCATAACTATGTATCTATTTGTTTTTTGCGCGGAGTTTTAAAAGTATTAATATTATATTGAGATATAGTAGGAATAACGTATAAATGACTAAAATGACCTTATTAGTATTGCGTGATATAAAAGTAATGGTATTTGTGTAATGAATATTTTGTTACGAGACATACCAAAATGAAAAAATGAATACTTTGTTATAGGACGAGAGAGTATAATTTTTATAAAACTATAAAAATAAATGATTGATCAATTATTTATTTATTTATTTTATTAAAAAAATTATTCAAAATATTTAGGTCTTTATTTATAACAAACAAAGAAAAATTTTTACATTAACATAAAAGAAATTCACGCCAATAAATAAAATATAAAATATTTTATACATTTTTACTAAAAACACCATGCTATTATATAATTTACAATATTAAAAAAGCTAATATTCGAATGTGTTATCCGGACACAGTGATGTATGTTTGTTTAATTAATTGCTACTCCCTCCGTCCCACGTCATTTGTCCCTACTTTCTATTTTCGTCTGTCCCACATAATTTTTCATTTTTTTAAAAAAAATTAATTATACACTTTAATCATATTTTAAATTTTAAAATTTAAATTTTTTTAATTTTAATTAAACTATTTAGTTATTTTACTTAATCTATAATTATTTTTACTAAATAATAATTATTTTTTACCTAAATTTCCGTGTCTATATTAATACGCCTGGGAAGGGGGGAGTAATATAATATATATATATATATATATATTCTTTGTTAATGCATTAGTGAGTGCATGCATTAGTGAGTGGGATTCTCATTCACCACTTTGGTAATGCATTTCTTCGTTTGTGAACCCCACACCACACTTCCACCCCATTTTGCTTCCCCAATTTCTTTCAATTCCGAATCCATTTTCTCAAATCTTCTCCACCTTTTCAGCTCAAAGACTTGTTCTTAATCCTCAGACATACATCACTGTGCTTTTTGCCAATAAACTTCCTGCTGCAGGTAATTGTTAATTTAGTGCCCTACTGTCCTTTTTCATCAATCCCCATTTCTGTGGACGCACTGCACTTTATTTATTAGGGTTTTTGCTGCACGTGTTGTGTGCCAAAGATTTCTATCTATTCATGTTTTGATTTCATTTTTAAGTGTTCGTTTAATTTTTCTAATTTTTTTGTATGATGATTTCTTCCGCCATTAAAGACCTCTCTCTGAGTTCACTGTAAACTTCAAAATTTTATAGTATTTTAGTTGGTCGTGTTCTCTTCGCATATTACTTTAATATATATATATATATATATATATACTATGAATGAACATCATTTTACCATGTTTCCTGTGCAACGATGATATGTTTGATATTGTTGCTCATGGTGAACTTGAACTTGATTAAGATTAAGCTTTATCTGTTCCGTTGAAATCTGTTTTGTACAAAATAGTTAGATGTAGAAGAGGAACTTAGTTGCCATATGTTTCAGAAGTATTTTTGATGTTTTATGAATAGTAATCAGTTAATCAAAAACAAATAAATGATGTGATATAAATAAATATACGACTCAATATTTTGTAAATAAGATACGATATCAAATTTGAAAACATAAGTAAATAAAGCTTAAGTTTTCGAACATCGAATGGATGTTCTTTTAGTACAATACATGTAGTGAGTGTTGAGTCTTCTTAGAGTGTGCCTTCATGCTCGATGTGTGGCACTTTACGCCGTATTTTTTTTATGTGTATGTGGTGTTTGATGAGTTGTATTTACTTCGAAGAATAAATTGAAGCTCTTTTGGTTAGGAATCCGGCGAAGGAATCCCATGGCCGGCGCGAGCTCTTACTCGAACTCATTTGTAGTCTTTCTTTCCATCTTCATGTTGTCTCTTAGCTGCTGTGCCCTGCACCAGCCTAGTATCGAAGGTAAAATCTATGGTAGAGCTCGCGAAAATAATGCATACCTCTAAATGTTTCACGTAATCCATTTCTATTTTTATATTTTTGCCGTAGTGGGGATATATTTCGAGCATTCTATACATTAAGCTCTGTTGCAATGGCAGCTCACTTGCTTAGCTCTTTTAGCTTGTAAAATATCACATCATAATGTATTTTTGGCGGATGCTTTTCCGCAGCTAATTAGAATTACGAACTGGTTTGCATTTCTGTAACATAGCCTTTACCTTCTCGCGGGTATTTCAGGCAAAGCCTTAGCTGAGCTCGTAGAAGTGCTAAACGATTCCCATCATAGAATCAATTGGGATTTGAGTTTTGTCAACCCCTGCTTCAGTTGGGATCATGTTACATGTCGAGACGGGAGAGTCGTGTCGCTGTTAGTACTTCTTTTCATAAATCCATCAAATCCATTCCTTATATTGATCGTTTACTATAAGTCTCGCCGTAATGTGTAGGAGCTTGGCTTCTAATGGATTCACAGGAACTCTTTCTCCGGCGATCTCAAAACTGAAGTATCTGGTTTCCTTGTAAGTTCATCATCTGAAACATCGATCTTGGCTTGGCGCACTTTTTGCTTTCCTTTTTTCGTACTTTGCAAGAACATTTTTTGTTTCAGGAATTTGCAGAATAACAGTCTCTCCGGATCCTTGCCTGAGTCTCTCGGAAGCTTGTCGAATCTACAGAATTTGAATCTTGCTTACAATAACTTCAGCGGTTCAATTCCAGCATCGTGGAGTGAACTATCCAACCTGAAACATCTGTGAGTCTACATCATGGCTAAGTATTTGTTCAGTCTTTTTCGCCGGTATGCATAGTGTGAATAGAAATTAACGACGCCTTTGATTGTCATCAGGGTTGTTCGAGGAAACCATTTAAGCGGATCTATACCAGAGTCGCTAGTAAACATAACCGGCCTAGTTGAATTGTAAGAAAGCTGCGCTCTCGATCGATTATTGTAACTTGTGACTTTTTTTTAACGATCTTTTTGTAGGGACCTTTCGTCGAACGGATTCATGGGAATAGTTCCTCAGCAGCTGTTTTCGACGCCCTCCTTCAAGTAAGCCGACTGCCTTAGCATACCGGTCTTCAATCTGCCCTCTTGACTTCTTCTGTGTCTTATTTTTTTTGTGTACCTTAATTTTGATCACATATGTTTAAGCTTTACGGCTACTCAACTCACCTGCGGCGATAACTTCCGGTGGCCATGTCTTTCGAGTTCCTCCATTCCAGGTTCGATTTTCTTGTCATAGTTAGAAACAGGGGAGATCAAGAGAGAAAAGTGATGCGATCGACATTTGCGCAGCTTCAAAGAGAAAGTCTCGAGTACAGGTCGCTGTTACGGTGGCAAGTATCGGTGTTTTCTCCATCGTGTTGCTTGGAGCGATCTTCGGATACCATTTTCATCAAGTACATAAACGCCGGCGCGATGTCTTTGTTGACGTATCAGGTAGAAAATATCTTATTCGTTTAAACTTTTACGTGAAATGGTCGTACGATTTCTATAATTTTCAGTTCTAACAACGTATTGTGGTCTAACGTAGGCGAAGACGAGAGCAAGATCTTGCTCGGTCAAATCCGAAGGTTTTCGTTCCGCGAAATGCAGCTCGCCACCGGAAATTTCAACGAAAGCGCCATAATCGGACAAGGCGGCTACGGGAAAGTATACAAAGGGATTCTCGTCGACAACACGAGAGTCGCGATAAAACGTCTCATGGACCATCATAGCCCCGGCGGAGAGGCCGCATTTTCGAGAGAAGTCCAATTGATAAGCTTCGCCGTACACAAGAACTTGCTCCGGCTCATCGGATTTTGCACGACGCCTACCGAGAGAATCCTCGTGTACCCATTCATGCAAAACCTCAGCGTCGCGCACCGCCTAAGAGGTACCTCGAACGTAAAATTCGATCGATTAATAAATAGTTCGACTTTAGTTCCCCGCATTAACGACTCGTTTCTTATCGAGCACTTAGAGCTAAAACCGGGAGAGAAAACGCTCGACTGGCCGACGAGGAAACGGATTGTGTTTGGCGCCGCGCACGGCCTCGAGTATCTCCACGAGCATTGCGACCCGAAGATCATCCACCGCGACATGAAGGCGGCGAACATTCTCCTCGACGACAACTTCGAGGCCGTCCTCGGCGACTTCGGCTTGGCGAAGCACATGGATGCAAAAGTCACTCACGTCACGACACAAGTACGCGGAACAATGGGACACATCGCGCCCGAGTATTTGTCCACCGGGAAGTCCTCCGAAAAGACGGACGTTTTCGGGTACGGCGTAACTCTCCTCGAGCTCGTGACTGGCCAACGTGCGATCGACCTCTCCCGACTCGAGGACGAGGAAGACGTCCTCTTATTAGACCACGTAAAAAAATTTCGACGCTATTCATTACACATCTTCGTTTTACTACGACGTTATTCGTATCGTGATTGTTTTGTATTCGTTTTCGAGTTAAAAATCGCAGATCAAGAAGCTACTAAGGGAGAAACGGCTGCGCGACATCGTCGATAAAAACTTGAAATGCTACGACGAGAAGGAAGTCGAGACGATTCTCCGAGTGGCAATGGTGTGCACTCAAAGCTCGCCGGAGGAGCGGCCGAGGATGGCGGAGGTGGTGGAGATGCTGGAGGGCGGCGGCGGGCTGGCGGTCCGGTGGGCGGCGTGGGAGGAGGTGGAGGAAATAAGAAGCCGTGAAATGTCCCTTATGGCTCCAAGATTCCTGTGGGCTGAAGACTCGACTCATCATCAAGAAGTTATGCATTTGTCACAAGCAAGATGACCCATTTTGTTTGAATTTATTTAATAACAGGTAGTAACGTTTGAATTGAAATGAATTTTGATCTTAACATAATAAACTAGTGTATGATACTTCGCTTAAATTATATAACACCCTTTTATATATTAGTAAAAAGTTGAACAAAATATATTCTGTATTTATTTATGGCGTGAAACCTCCCTGTATTAACGTAAAATTTACAAAAAAATATGTCTAAAACTGATATTTAATTTTAAATAAAATCTAAACTAGCAGGTGCCGTGCTAACGCACGGTTGAATTTAATCGTATTTATTATATTATAACCTTTTTTATATATACATATATTTTTAATCAATTTATAAATAATATAAATGAATTATACATACATGTATATATTATACTATTATTAAGGAAAAATCTTAGGTTGTGCTTATTCTAAGTTTTCATAGATTTTTTTATTATTCCTACAAATTTTTTTATAAAAATATTAAATTAAATATTTATTATATCCTCCTATCTATCACGGCTAGTTTGTCCCATTCGGTTTAAGCATATAGTTTTAGATATTATGTAATTAGTAAGCAATTAAAAAATATTATTAGTAAAAATAATTATGGTATAATACAAATAATTATATATTAAAATTAAGATGACTAAATAGTTTTTGATAAAAAAAAATTATAAATCAAAAATTTAAAAATATAATTATGTATAATTATATTTTCTTAAAAAAAATGACAAATTATGTAAAATAAACGAAAATTGAAAAAAATAGACAAATTAAGTGAGATGATTGGAGTATTTATTTAGTATTATATTAAAATTTTATTTTAGTACGAAAACATTATATATATAGATTTATATCACACAAAACAATTATAAATATCGTTTAAAGTTTTTTTTTTTACTATTTTCGTTTATTTCACTGAAAAGTACTATATTTCATATTTTAAAAAAACTACATTAATACAAAAATACTATTCCCTCCGTCTCATATACCATGTCCACGTTGCCGTTTCTATCCGTCCCACATACCATGTCACTTTCCTTTTTTGGAAAATAATTACACACTTTAATATTATTTTAAACTTTTTAATTTTATTTTTTAAATTTTAATTAAACTAATTAGTTATCTTTATCTTAATCTTAATTTATAATTATTTATAATATAGGATAATTATTTTCACTAATACATTCTTAATTATCTACTAATTATACCCTCTTAAAATACCGTATCTAGTGTATTAAATTTTAAATATATGATTATATATACAATTATTTACATATAAAGTCAAAGAAAAATATTAAAACTTTTTTATGCACTTCCAATGATTAATAAAATATTAATATTCTTAATCTAAAAACATTGTTAACAATGAATGATAAAAATATTCAGTCAAATTAATTTATCACTTATAAAACTATGTATATATCAGGTAAATAAATTTTTAAATTATTAAAATTAAAAAATAATAATAATAATAATAAAATAAAACAGTGTATATATTACTCAGTGGTAAATAGATTTTTAGATTATTATAATTAACAATTGATTCCAATTAAATCGGAGTATGTTAAATTGTTATGTTTTAATTTGAAGAAAATAATAATAATAATAAATTATGTAAATTATATAAAATTATCTAAATAATATAAAAATAATAAATATAATATATATATATATATATATACCCTTTTAACATTCTTATTTATATACATTTAATTTCACTCGTTACCTTTTATCTTCCCAAATTACTAATTTATATATATACCAACTTTTAGACACTTAAGTCATCATTAAAACTTTTATTTTATAATTTCACTTAAATACTTTCTAAAATACCCTTATTAATTCTGAATTGTTTAATTACATAAATTTTAATTAACAATAAAATGTTTTTCTCACTTCAATCCACGTGTAAACATACTTAAATTGTATTGGGATTAATTTTTTTTTTTATTGATTATAATGATTATACAATATAATTTCCTTAAATTGTACTAAAAAAAACTGAAAAAAAAAATAAATAAAAATAAGGAAGAAGAGCAAAGAAGAATCAAAATTTAGATGTGACTTTTATGCTGATCAATTAAAATTTCATACAGATATATACAAAAATTTATAGTAATACTGTAGAGCTCATAAACCGCAAGTAAAAACTCGCACAACCATTGCCTTCACATTGTGGGACAATGCCTACAACCCAACCTAAATTTGATCGAATTTATACTATTCATCCAATTTTTTCCCTAAAAAAAATATCAAATCAAACAACTATTTTTCATTTTTTATATTATACTAAAAATCAATTTTACATTCAGAACATCACATCAACATTTATTTATATCACATCATACAAACTATTCAAATTCAAAATTTTTACTGTTCAAATCTCAACTCAAAATCCAAACTCCCAAACAAACACACCCTGAGGGAACAACCAAGAGTGTCTGTATAGCATTTTTCATGTTGAACCATCACCCACCTAAGTTTCGCGATACGTTCCCTACCATTATATAGACAAAAATAAAAACACGCCACTCAAACCAATACGGCGGCCAGCGACATAACGTCATCTATGATATAAATAGGTATTGATGTGATGTTTTGAATGTAAAATTGATTTTTAATATAATATAAAAAATGAAAAATAGGTATTTGATTTGATATTTTTGGGGAAAAAAATAGGATGAACAGTGGAAATCCAAACAAATCCCTCGAACAAACACACCCTAATTATTATAAAGCATTATTATTGGAACCCTTCGATTATTTCAACTTTTATTACTATTTTTTTTATGTCTTTTGAATTCCCTATATTAATGATATATGCATGTATAAATATATTCATTCAACTAATTTAAAATAAATAAATAAAGTAATTAATATATAAATTAATATATATATATATATACTACTCTATTAGATACGAAATAAAACAAAATATGTTCAAATAAAAAACGATTTAAATAAATTGTTCATATAATATATTTATATATATATATATACTCTTAAAATAGATAATAAAATAAATTATAAATTACTAATTATATTTATAAAATAATAATACACTCGGTCATTGATCAATCCAATGTCCCAACTCCCAAGTAAGAAAAAAAAATACATAAAATAAGATATTAAATATATTAATATCATCATTTTAACAAATAATCAGTAAAAATATTAATTAAAAATTAAACGTGTATTTAAATTGTATAATTGTTTATAATATATACATATAAAAAATTATTAAGAATTATAATTCTTTAAAAATACATATTAAATAAGTAAAAAAAATTGTTGATTCACAATTTTTTAATGGCCAATCAAATATTTCAACTAATTAAAAAAAAAAGTAAAATATTTTATGTTCTTTTTATTGTTATAAATAGTTATCATATTTAAGCAATTAAATATAATTTAATTTTGAAAATAATATATACAACCATAATTTCAAGATATACATACATATAATAGATTATAATAAATAAATTATCTACTCTTAACATTTAATACAAATAAAATAATAAGTAAAAAGTACAAAATATATAAATAAAAAACCCCAATCAAAGTGCATAATTAATTAAAAAATATATATATAATGACAATCAATTAAAGTATTAAAAAAAATTCAAAAGTATATACAATTGTATAAATCAATCAAAAAAGCTCTATATATAACAATACACCAATCAAATGATAGGACCAATGAAAATTAGAGAAAAATAATTCAAAAACCCTAGAAATTCATGTTTTTTTGCTAAGTGGAGCCCACAATGAGCTCCTTTAATATGATATATATGATCTGATATGATTATGTAAATTTTATATAAATAAAAAATGCAAAATATTTTAAATAATTTTTTTGAATAAAATAAATAAATAAATAATTGATCAATCATTTATTTTCATAGTTTTTATAAAACTCAGATAAAAATTTGTCTCCAAAATTATAAAAGGAAGGATTAATCAATTATTTATTTATTGTATTAAAAAATTATTTAAGATATTTTATATTTTTTATTTGTATAAAATTTGCATAATTTAAATCTTTATTTAGAATCAAATATCAGTGCAAGGGTGTTTCATGCAAATTTTATATTTAACATAAGAATTTCACACAATAAATAATTTACCCTCATATTTTGAAGGGAAGAAAGATAGGTTACAAATTGTTGATTTACTTTTGCTTTGAATTTGAATTTGATCTTTTTGTCCTTTTTTCTTTAAAAAAAATTATAAATAATTGTGTTTGAAAATTTTGCATTATTCTTTTAATTTAAAATTGGTGTTATAAAATAATAATAATATAATAGTATCGTTGGTGGGTAAATAAATATATGTATGTGTATATTACTCTAGTATCTATATTAATATATTATAATGTAACAAAAGAAGATATGTAATAAAGAGAGAGAGCTGAGAGGTTGAGATGATACAATTAATTGAATGTCTGTGTAATTTATTAAATGAACATATGCATGTATTTTTAGGCAAATGAAAGTACATCGAATCCCACGTAGCACCCACACCATATACATGTGTATACTACGTAGTATACAACACTCCCCCTTGGATGTTTTATAAAAAGAATGTGCCTCGTTAACACCTTACTATGAAAAAACCCTGTGGAAAAAAATCATAGTGAAGGAAAAATAGTACATCATTTTTGTATTAATGTACTTCCCCTATTTTGAACTTTATTTGATGTCTTTCATCCGACGCATTCCAATTCCTCGTACCAATTTGTTGAATGTTGCAGTCGGTAGCACTTTCGTAAATAAATCTGAAAAAATTTCGGACGATCGAATTTGTTGCACATTAATTTCACCACTTTTCTGAAGATCGTGAGTGAAAAGAACTTCGAAGATATGTGCTTTGTCCGATCGCCTTTAATATATCATCCATTTAGTTGAGCTATACAAGCCGCATTGTCTTAGAATAATACTGTATGAGGTAATATATCATCAGAAATCAAGCCACAATTTTTCTGAATATGGTGAGTCATAGACCTCAACCAAACGCATTCACGACTGGCTTCGTAAATTGCTAAAACCTCAACATGGTTTGAAGAAGTAGCTGTTATTGTCTGTTTAGCAGATCTCTAAAAGATTGCGGTTCCACCATAAGTAAATAAATAGCCAATTTGAAATTTTGCTTTGTGTAGATTAGACA